GACCTGCAGGTAGTAGTGGTAGTGGCAGGCAACCTTACTTCCGTGATCGACCCCTCTCCACGCACCACGCCGACCTGCAGGTGGGCTGCACTCAGACGAGAGCACCTTCCCCGAGTTCCACTACTCGGCCGTCCTCTACCTCTCCACGCAGGGCGACGACTTTGAGGGCGGCACCTTCTCGTGGAGCGACCCGCCCGAGGCAGCCCCGCCCGAGGGGCAGCCTCGCCGCCACGTGAGGAGGCGGCGTGTCTCTTCACACTGCGGGGCCGAGTGAGTTAGGCGCCGGGCGGGCCGCGCGTCGCCACGCCCCTCGCGCCCAGCAAAGGCGCCGCCGTCGTCTTCTCTAGTGGCTGGGAGAACATGCACGAGGCGGAACCCCGCTCCCGGTCGGGCCGGCGCCGCCATGAAGCTGCCCCGAGTCTTGTCGGAACCTTCCTGTAGGTGGAGCCCCTCCGGTCAGGCAGGCGATTCGCCGTGCCCTCCTTTTTCACGACGCTGCCCGGCGGGCCACCAGCCGAGGCGACGGTGCCCACCGAGCCGCGCGCGGTCGCGGACGAGCTCTGGCGGACGCTGCTGGCGCCGCAGACGGCGGCAGACCCAAAGGAATTTTTCCTCAAGTGGCACGGCCTGCTGGCGCCAGGGCACGCGTGAGAAAGAAGGGGGCGCACCCCGAGTTGACCGCGGAGTTTACGTGAACGGCGGCGGGCCACCCGCGCCCTCTTTATTTCCATTTTTCCGGGGATTTCGCGTTTCAGAGCGCGCCACTGATGTTCACGTGTTTTTTGTAGATGCATAAAGAGTGGAATCAGTCGATCTCGGACAATGCTCAATGGGGAGAGGGATACGATATCGAGTAACATTTTCTCTCTCTCTCTTACGGCTTTATGTACGGTCTACCACGTACCAGGAGTGTACCACCCTCCACCCTGCAACTGGCGTGTCGCCGCAAGCACACACACAGAGAACATTGGTCATTGCGCGTCCAGATATGGATTGTGGCTTGTGTCAATAACGCCTCGCGAGCCAGGACATCCTCAGGCGTCCGAGACGACGACATTGCCCACCTGGTTCACCCATACCTGGACTCCTCGTACGAGGCGCATGGCGGGGCGCTGTGGCCCCTCGTGCACTGGGGCCACGCTGCTCGCCCCCTCGCCTCCCTTCCTCTGGAGAGGGGAGCCTCCTCAAACGCCG